ATTATAATACAAAATTTCTCTGCCTAGTTTATGTCTGAATTCTCTTTATATATATATTGCCTTAACTGTCTGGATACATTTCAAGGTGCACGTATTGCTACTGTGAGGTACTGTTAAGGGAAAGTACTGTTGGATTTATACATACGGATTGGCCGATGGAAAGCTGTAAATTCTCTCCCATTTTCTAGCTTATAATTTCAAATATATTTGTTTGTAAACAACAAGGAAAGTGTTAATATGCTAAAATGGTATTCAGCGCTTTGGAAATTTCGATATTCTCGTATATTTGACAAATTAACACTTAATGAAATACTTGTATTTTTAGGAAAATGCTGCGAGATTCAGCGACTAGATAAGAAATTTGGATCAATTTTGGATTCTGTCTAACAATTTTATAACATAAAAGTGAGATACAGTAGAACCTCATTCATCCGAACTGCTTCAGGGAAAGTTTTGTTTTCCTTATAACCGGTGGGAGCTGTTAAAGTAAAAATACATACAGATTACATTGCTAAACAAAAGTATGCATTTACCTATCTATGTTAAATTACATTACTTATCTGAATTTCTGTAGTATTCTACATTCAGGTGAGTTAACTTTCTGTGTTAAAATTTGTAAAAATCTCTTTTTCTTTTTTGTTTGTTTCTGGTTAATTTGTTAATTTCTATTGTATAACTGAAGTCATATTCTCGTATAATAAAAAGGGACTAACATAAAAAGTTATGAAAGAATAATTTTAGCAAAATTAATAATTTAGAGCATGAAAGAATATACATTCCATAATTATTCCATAATTATTTGTATTATAATATGCATATTATTTCCATAATTATTTGATAGCTTCAGCTTGTACACTTCTAAATAAATTCATTGTGAAACCTTTAGACAAATCCTTTCATTTTTCCAGCGGCCGAGCGGTAACGTCGCTGAACACTGGTAGTTCGGTCCGAGGTTCGAATCCCGCGATCGGGCTGACTGCATGGGTGTTTTCGTGGTTTTCCCTATGTGTAACGTGTATACGAGCCAGTTTCCCTTAAAAAGTCCTCCACGAAGGCATGCCTCCCTTAAGGCAGATAGCCCTCGAGTGCTTTGCCGTAATTTAATAAACCAAACCAAACCTTTCATTTTTCGCTCTGCAATATATTTTCTTGAATTTGTATCGAATTTTCAATTGTTAGATTACTTGATAATCCTAGAACTCACTGAGGATGAATGATAAATACACTGAGGATGGATGACAAATAAAAACTTCTCTTAAAATTATTTCAGGAAGTAGTGAGACTCTAACACTTATATAAAGCAACCCCATCTGGTAGTGAATACTTTGCATAGGATACTGTAAATATGACTGCAATTTTTAGTCATTTCATTCCGTTCAACCTAAATTAACAAAAGAAATCTTTTTATTAATAGTTAAATAGACGTTTGTTAAATCGCAATATTTCAGATGCATGATAGTGTACAAAAGCCTACACTGATTCCTACACGACTTGATAGGCTTCTTACTTGAATCGATCCCTAATGAGCCGATTGAGTCTTTTGAAAGCGAAATTAATGAACACATTTATGACTTCCATCTGTCTGTGAAACTCACTTTCCACGAATATAGCGAACTGAAATGTGATTCTGGCTAGACTCCTTATTTCTACGGTCTTCTTAAGGTTTGCACTATCTTTAAATGTCTTAGTCTGTTGGCCTCTTTTGTTCTCAGCTCCGCTCATTCGGCTGTAATAACGTTGAATTTTGAAATTTTATCTCTAATTTGGAGTCTGAGCTTCGTTATTTTGACAGTTTCATTTGAAGAGCTTTCGTTTTTCATTTTTATTATTACCATAGGTAATTTACTCGTACTTTGACTAACACACTGCATTCTTTCCTGAGGGCATTTATGACTTACTGTAGTTCTGTTTGAACACCAGTCTTTCCTGTAACCACGGATGAATTTTTAAATAAATTTGAGAAAACATTATGCGTTTTCTCCTATACAGTGTCGCCGATAATTTTTACTACCTATAATAAATAGTATCCATTGTATATTCTCTGCCGATGGCCTTTCATATATGTATACTGATAGATATCTAAGATTCCAGTTCCATTATCCTTAGTGCCACAAAGCTTTAGCTGTTAGAATGATAACTGCCCGACTAAATTATTATTTCATTTGAATTTCTACGTCTCTTAAATTAAACATAGCTGATATGTAATCAGACTCAACGATTAGGCGAATCGTTTAATTTTTCGCAGTTTTGAGTCCAAATTTTTCCCATGATGATTCATCTTTTACTTCTAGAAACATCTGCCTTTTCTGCAAAGCACCTTCGAATACATTTAGCTCATTCACATATTCCTTACCAGTTCTTAATAAAAATTCATATTTTTCTCTTCTAACCTCTTCTGTAGCGTTAGGATCAGCATTCTGGTCGAAGAGAATACGAGCGCCATTTTTCTTATTGGATCTTATGATTATTATCCAATTTCCAAAAGAGTTCAGTTGAAAGTTTGCATTTCAACGTATTAACTTATAAGGTATTTCTCCTGCCTTCTTAGCGAGCCTTCGTGGTGTAGCGGTCTGCACGTTCAGCGCGTAATTGAGAGGTTCGCGGTTCGATTCCCGGCAAAGGCGTTGCTAATTTTTCATCTTGCCTGTTTCCAAAAATACCTAATATCTCTACAGTGGCGCCCGAACTAAAAGGGTGTTGGATGATGATTCTCCTCACCCAGGATTTGGCGATTGGGTCCCCTAAAACCCAGTCGCCCTTTAAAAGCGGGAGAATATAAAGTATTTCTCCCGCCTTCTTAGCAAGCCTTCGTGGTGTAGTGGTCTGCATGCTCAGCGAGCAACTGAGAGGTCCGCGGTTCGATTCCTGGCAAAGGTGTTGCTAATTTTTCATCTTGTCTGCTTCTAAAAATACCTAATGTCTCTACAAACTAAAACAGCTCACTTATCTCCTTGTCAGATGTTTAAATGCTTGCATGTAACATTTATATGTTTACGGTAGCATTTGAAACACATTCTAGCAAAATTGGCATTGTTTGCAAGGCATATTTTACTGCTTTTATTATCATTCTCTGATTTCTATTTAGAAAATATCTTGATGTCTGTGTAGTCTTTATTTTTATCCATTCGAAATTCTTTGCTGACCTGTAACAGCATCGCAAATATTTTAAATATATTTCTTTTACATTATATACACGAATATACGTATCCAAACCTTCTGGATGAGTCACACTTTTGCAAGTAAACAGAAGACTGTAGATGAATGGATACAAATCAAACGAAAAGTAGAATTTACAAATAGGAGCTAGGCAAGAAATAAGGACGGATGATTGATATTGATCAATGTCCAAACAATTGGACTTCTCAAGAATATCTGAAGCAAAATGTTCTATTTCTCGTTTAGCACACTGATTAGGCTGTGATTGCTTTTCAGAAGACCTTCCATAATATCTATACGCGCATAGTGGGCCGTAAGACCTAGGGAGAGTGTAGATAGACGATTGTATGAACATTCTTACTCTTCGGGAGATTCTGTGTCGCTTTAGTTCGAGGAAGAAATAAAAAGGGACGCTTCGATACTGACACTTCAGAAGAAGTGAACGTGAGCTTTCAATAGTTTCTTTACATAAACAACACTAGACATGGTAAAATTATACTGCACCCGTAGTTCAATACATCCATCAATTATGGTGACTTCTATCATCCCAACACTATAACGATAACTTTCTCGCGCAACACTATATCATCCCAACACTGTAACGATACCTTTCTAGCGCATTTTTCCGCTGGTATTCCCATTTCCGCCAGATGGATCGACGGCAGGGATGCGAGTACATGATGAACTGACTTTCACTGGAGAATAAGACATTGGCCCAATGCTGCCAAGATCTATTTAGGAGGAACTGACCCAAATGCAAACTGATTTTATGAAGTTCTCAAAAAAGAACCACACAGACGATCAGTTTTTAAGCATACAACCCTAAGTTATTCAAACATTGATCCCACAGGACTGATGGGAAATCCTCGTCCCTATTCTTCAAAAGAGTTAACTTGCAGTACGGCTGCCGTATAGCTTGCTCCATTGCGTTTCACCATTATCGCTAAGTAAAAATCTTTTTATACCGTCGTTGAGAGGGGGGGCGATCGCATTCATTTTGACGGGACATATTCTAGTGGTTTAAAACGCTTCTTAAAACCGGCCCAGTACCTGAAATTAGTGAAATTTGCACGTTTCCAAATTCTTTTCCAAATTTGGTGGTTGTAAGGGCTTAATATATCTTTACATGTGTAAATCATTTAAATACCGCTTTTGAGACATAACGAAAGTCTTATGCTTGTAAATTTACATATTTCATTGTATAACATCATTCTTTTCACGTAAATTTCAGTTTTGACATTTCAATTGCCTCACAAAAAAATCAGTCATTTAATTTTCTAATTGCTTATGATATGTATTGTGATAATATTTTTGTAAGAGCTAGCTTATAAGTTGTTATTATGATAACTTCATGATAACTTATTATGATAACTTCCACGAACGAATCCGCGAACTTCAGACTTGCGGTGTTACTGGCGCATGATATGTGCTTTGTGATTCATTTATGTGTCTTAACATTCTATAGAGTATATAGTATATTAAGACACATAAATATACCATGATACAACCATAGAGTCAAATAGATGTATTTTATTTAAGTTGTTGCTTTTCTAATGGCCAACAGCGTATATAAGTACTATAAATGCACATTTAAAGTTGCACATATCAAACAAATTACCCCATGAGTGTATAAAATAATCTCTCATCGCCACTAAAGAAATTGAGTTAAATTCAACGTGCAGCGTGCATTCTTACGCAACTAGTTTCCTAACACGATTAGATATAATTTCATTTTTTTACTGGTTATGTATAAAACAACATATGAACATATTTGCCATAGTAATAAAATGTTCATTTCTAATATTTTTTATTTTGTTTTTAACATTATTTTCTCTCTATTCTAGGGTGCTGACCATTACAAACGGGCAAATTTCTTATAGAAACCGCAAGACGAACTTGCCAGATATCTATAATTCCACAACGTTCCCTATGTTGGTAATAAAAAAGGTAAGAAAATGTTCTTCTGTTGATAAAAGCTAGTGGCAACGGTTATTAAACCAGTTGCAGCCTGCTTTATTATTCGCAAAATAGTACGGTTATAAAACATGCAGCAGGCGACATAGGTTTGCCAATGTTTTACTTTTTGCATGTGTTTCACAACTCAAAGGCCATATATCATACAATTGTAAAGTAAAACATCGATATAATTAAAATCAGAGGAAGCCGAGAGAAGTACGAAAGATAATGTTCTTATTTCAGATTGGCTTTTTTGTTCTGACTGAAGATATTCAGTATCAAAATGCCTTTCATTGCCGGTTAAACAATTGAGATACTGCAAGTCATGCACATTATTGTAATGTTTCTGAGTGTTATTAGCTGACACTTGCAGAGTTAGGTAAGAAACATAAATGATGTCATAGTGAGATTAAGGACAGTTGGAACAAAGATTATCTTCCAGGCAAGATATTCTACCTAAATAATCAAAATACCCAAATATACCCAGATGTGAACTGATTTAATGTTTTTCAAATATTATAGATATACCAAACCATTTTTATCACTATCATAATCATTCCATTATAAACCGTTTCATCAATTATCCACCTCGTCCAGCTTTCACAGACCCTCATGAAAATGTGTTGGAACACTACAGCGTGTCTCTTGAACCGTACCTTTATACAGAATTTGATGGCATTACACGGTATTCGTGAAAAATACTTAATGGCTAATTTTTTTTTTCGATCCGGCAGGAGAAGAAACCGAGTCTGAAAAACGTCAGGAATTATTCAGAAAGCTGCATCTAGTGAAATTATTTTATGTTAAGACAGTACTCTTAATTTATGATCTGATTGCTGCACTTATTTACATGTTTGTATGGTAACACGGAACTTAAATTATAGCTGGTAAAATTATTTTTATCTTCACGCTCTTTTGCAGTGTTTCGCTTGTACATAACAACGTTATTTTTATTCGTAGCTTAATTTTTTTATTTTTAAACACCACAAAGCATTTTTTATTTCAAAGCCAGTGGCAAATTTGCAGTGCATTTGCCAAGACCAGAACTCTCGACTGCTCAGTTGCTAGCTGGACGTGCTTTCTAGTTACACCACCAAAGCACGTGATTAGGAGAGCGTAAAACCTTATATATTACTATTGAAGAGGTTTAATTTCATTCGTATATCTCTAAAGATTTGTGTGTGCAATTATACTTCTACCCGATTTCTATCAAACCGGCTGCATATTGGCCGATATACGATTGCATAGGTTTGGGGTATTGTTATAATGTACCCTATGTGAAGCATGTAAGTTTCTTTAAAACTTTTAATAAATATTTGCCTCTGCAGCAGTAAATATCTATGAATTACCTCTTTGTTTTGTTGGATTTGTGGAAAAAAATTGTTTTAAATTCAGATTGAGTTTGGATACATTTTTATAATAACTATTCAATTATAAACTTCTAGATACCTGCATAAACTTTATCCCTGAATTTAAGATACGAATAAAAAATGCAAGTGGTGAATCTTGAGAAAATGAAAACTATGCACTGACTGCAGAAAAAAAAAGAAAAAGTTTCTTTTAAATTCTAATTAACTAGACCTAAGAGCAAAGTTAATTGGATTACATTAAATGCGGTATTTAATTCACATTAATTCCATTTTCTCTTTAGTTTTCTTTTTTAGTTTTTGCGTTTTTACAATTAGCATTCTCATTAATTGTGTGATCGTATTACACTGTTATCTAAAACATTCTTTTCATACGTAATAGGAACGATTTCTCAAACTCTCTTGAATAAAACTGAATGAATTTATTTGGGGTGAAACAGAGTAGGATAATACATTAGTTTAAAAAGAACTTACTAAATACGAAACAAAGCTGTGTTGCTCTTGTCTTGTACATGCAGTTCATGGAAGAAGAGCCTCAAGGAAGTTGGACTTCGACCCCAATTTTGAGGGAGAGCACCCCGGAGGTGGTCCGAGGGCAAAGTTATGTTATGAAAAATATAAGATCAGGATAATATACGACAACGAAAGTTTAGGTAAAAGTGAACACTTTCTTAACAAATGCATACTTTTGACGCTAATGGAGAAAATGTTCTCTTCTAACTCGTACCGATTTCAAGTTCTAAATGAACTGATTAAAGGTTGTGTCTCCAACTAGGTCTTCAAGGCATTAAGTTTTATAAGATGAGAATTTTGAATTTCAGCACCTCTTTCTAGGTGTCCCAAGGCGTCCACTTCTCAACGTTGTTTAAATTATGAGATTTAGCGAGCAGTTTATTCCCGTAATGAATTTGGTGTTAAGTTATTTTTAAAGCATATATGTTCGATGTGGCCAAGAAAATATATGAAAAGCATGTTAAATCTATATGCCTTTCTAAAATGCCTGAGTATAGTGTTTAAAATTTTCTTTTGATACCTTTTAGCAGACAAAGATCCTATATGGAATAGGTGCAGAGCAGTACATCAGTTTTTCACCATTTGCTCAACCCTTCATATCTGCCTCTCTGCAATAGTCCATTCCCTAATTATGGCTGGTAATGATTTTTGTCCTTAGCTCCATTTAAATGTAAACGTGTTTAGTGTAAAAGTGTTAAACTGAATTTCAGTTGAAATCTGAGCTGAAATTTGAACACTGATCCATTGCTGACTCCCGTTGTAATGTTTTCTGCGTCAATTCAGATGGACGCTTTTTGTCACTACAGCAGTGAAATGCAAACCGTTAATTTTTCGCGCATAAAAAAAAGAGTTCTTTGTTAAGACTTTTCTGCAAAGTTTGACTTAATGAAAAAGTTAATGACTTGATGCAAAAGTGATGGCCTCAGGCTCTAACTTCAGACTGCCTGAAAGATAAGTTCATAGTATGACAGCAAGTTATTAGATATGAAAACTAATTCTGAAATAACGGTTGTTTTCTATTTACAAATTTGTCACAGATTTACTAGTAAAAGTTTAAAAGCCTTTAAATTTAGAGAGCAGAATACATCGTTTCTGATCTCTAAAATTATATCGATAATTATCTACCCTAATTCTAATCAACTGACTACTATACAGTTCAAAGATTCTCCCAAATGACACTTTGGAACCTTACAAAATTGCTTAAATAAACTCAGTAAATACTGAAATCAAAGCCTAATTGCTGAAATCTCAAGGAAAACGTGCTTCGTGCAAAGCGTTTGCCGGGCCTTTGGATGGTATCTTAGCATTTTAGCAGTTCAAAAACGGGGTCGTTCAGATTGCATTAAATCATTAAAATTATTTTTCCTTTTTGCTTAATTCATGTAATATTAAATTAGGCTGACTGGTTATTTCTTAAAATATCAGTACTTTTATGTAGTTAAAATTTGGGCGTTAGTGTTGTTTCCCAGCTATATGCCGTCATAATGCCTATTGCACAGAAAACATTTATAAAACGTAAGCATTTCCACCCTTCAGATCTAATTTCATATGCATTTAACAAACTTCGGATAAGAATTCAGTTGTATTTGAAAGATATTTAAGCCTTTTTATTTCTATTTTTTCATTTTATTATTTATTTTTTATTTTTCGTATCTACAAATTTTCTCAGAATACATTATTAATCAGTGCTATAGATCTTCCCTACTTTAACTTGATTGCTTTAAGAATTTTCTCTTAAAATATTAATAATATTGGATTAAATAACTAATTTAGGGCTTTTCGTAAGAATAAGACGAAGTTTGCATATATGTAAATAACTTTTGTGAAATCATGTTTAAAACTGTAGTATCTTTCGTATAATGGAACTTGACAAATTTGAAGAAGGCGCAGCTCTTCCGCAAAAATAATATTTCAGGAGCAAGTCTACTTAAAATTGAGGTAAATCGCTATCTCGCTAAATTGGCAAGATATCGCTAAGCTGACGACTGTTTTGGTGACTAATTGTTATCACCAAATTTGGGGCGAAATTGCCAAAATTAGCCAAAATTGGCCACCATTTGGCGACATTTGGGTCCGGTCCGTGTATAATTGGTACTGTAATTGAATAACTATAATTGATCCCTATATGTAATTGTTACCATATCCGGCCCCTACATGTAACATTAACCGTATATGCCTTCGAACAATTTCGAAAAATGAAAGGTGGGGAATTTATACAAGTTCGAAGAGAACATCAGTTCTCAGTTGTTTAATTCAGTGTGCGTTCAGAGTATTAAGTGATCTCCGTGGGGACATCGCCCTTTTAGATGCGGTTTGCATTGCACAGTCTTTCGTGTTCTCAGCAGTTTCAGTGCAATTACGTAATGTACTCTGTGATACTGAGAGAAGCTGTATGAGTATTTTTGTGAAAAGTTCAAGAACTATGTAGTTTTTCTTTGGACAAAATAAATTTTATCAGGCTATCATTGGTTCTCTGTGCATTCAATCTCTTACAAAACCGTACGCTCGCAACACTATGAATGTATGAAATTTAGGTATTTTCATGATGCGAAATCAGAGGTTACGTTCGTAAAATGCGCCTAGGTATTTGTGAAATTATTATTATCTCTCACATAGAAAATTTTGTCATTGACATAAAATTACTTTTTTTTATTCTCAGCGTATCTTAAGAGCACTCTTGAAACATAAATCTTTCCTTTTCTTCAGATCAAATATAACAACATTTTAAAATGGCTTTCCATGATCAATTTTTTGTTTTTGTAAACCGTCTCAATATTCGAAGAACATTTGTGCAAACACTTCTTATAAGTTAAAGAATTTCTTAACAGGTTCGCACTCTTTTACTGGTGCTAATTTTAGGAACAGTCAAGGATGCTTGAGATAACCCTTTCGTGGAACTTTTAAACTCATTTTTCTTTGCTATCTATTTTTTATGCATTATAGAGAAGCTTTTTAAAGCATTTAACGAATATTTTCCCCCTTTTTATGTACGTGCGTGGGTTTTCTTTTCAGTTTTAAGAAATTTTATCATCATTGCTTCTAATTACGGTACTAATTAGAATTAAGATAAGTACTAAAATAACTGAGGCAGCTGAAGTGGAATTAAGCAGC